TTAGTAAGACTGTTGACTCTGGTGGTTGTATAACTTGTGTGGCAACAATGCTGATGTATATAGAAACTGTAGCAGTATATTGTGACTTGTCAGTCTTTAGTAGGACTCTGGTTATTGTATAACTTGTGTGGCAACAATGCTGATGTATACAGAAACTGTAGCAGTGTATTGTGACTTGTCACTCTTTAGTAAGACTGTTGACTCTGGTTATTGTATAACTTGTGTGGCAACAATGCTGATGTATACAGAAATTGTAGCAGTGTATTGTGACTTGTCACTCTTTAGTAGGACTGTTGACTCTAGTAGTTGTATAACTTGTGTGGCAACAATGCTGATGTATACAGAAACTGTAGCAGTATATTGTGACTTGTCAATCTTTAGTAAGACTGTTGACTCTGGTGGTTGTATAACTTGTGTGGCAACAATGCTGATGTATATAGAAACTGTAGCAGTATATTGTGACTTGTCATTCTTTAGTAAGACTGTTGACTCTAGTGGTTGTATAACTTGTGTGGCAACAATGCTGATGTATACAGAAACTGTAGTAGTGTATTGTGACTTGTCCATCTTTAGACTGTTGACTTTCTCTGTTGGTGGCAACAATGCTGATGTATACAGAAACTGTAGCAGTGTATTGTGACTTGTCAATCTTTAGTAAGACTGTTGACTTTCTCTGTTGGTGGCAACAATGCTGATGTATACAGAAACTGTAGCATTGTATTGTGACTTTTCAATCTTTAGTAAGACTGTTGACTTTCTCTGTTGGTGGCAACAATGCTGATGTATACAGAAACTTTAGCAGTGTACTGTGACTTGTCAATCTTTAGTAAGACTGTTGACTCTGGTGGTTGTATAACTTGTGTGGCAACAATGCTGATGTATAAAGAAACTGTAGCAGTATATTGTGACTTGTCAATCTTTAGTAAGACTGTTGACTCTAGTGGTTGTATAATTTGTATGGCAACGATGCTGATGTATTCAGAAACTGTAGCAGTGTACTGTGACTTGTCAATCTTTAGTAAGACTGTTGACTCTGGTGGTTGTATAACTTGTGTGGCAACAATGCTGATGTATACAGAAACTGTAGCAGTGTATTGTGACTTGTCAATCTTTAGTAAGACTGTTGACTCTAGTGGTTGTATAACTTGTGTGGCAACAATGCTGATGTATACAGAAACTGTAGCAGTGTACTGTGACTTGTCAATCTTTAGTAAGACTGTTGACTCTAGTGGCTGTATAACTTGTGTGGCAACAATGCTGATGTATACAGAAACTGTAGCAGTGTATTGTGACTTGTCAATTTTCAGACTGCTGACTTTCTCTGTTGGTGGCAACAATGCTGATGTATACAGAAACTGTAGCAGTGTATTGTGACTTGTCAATCTTTAGTAAGACTAACTCTAGTGGTTGTATAACTTGTGTGGCAACAATGCTGATGTATACAGAAACTGTAAGTTATACAACCACTAGAGTCAACAGTCTTACTAAAGATTGACAAGTCACAGTACACTGCTTTGTGGCAACAATTCTGATGTATTCAGAAACTGTAGCAGTGTATTATGACTTGTGAATCTTTAGTAGGACTGTTGACTTTCTCTGTTGGTGGCTGTGTGTGCTGTCAATCTTATTATGTTATTCTTAACACATCAGAAGATATTTAAGGGAATCAAATTGTTACATGAAGAAATTTGTGGAGATCAGTTCTTATTTATCATAAAGTAATACTCCTATTATAACAAATATTATAGAAAAGCAGTATACCTATCTATAAAAGTTATGCTATAGCTATTTTCGGAATTTCTTACTACTAAAATATAATTTGTTTCTCCAATCAACATACCTAATTTTTGAAATTTAATTTACTAGTTGGCGGACCCGCGCAACACACGAGAAAGACATATGGGGTCAAGTCCAATTAAAATTTTTTTTATGTCAATCCCAGGGAGACGAACCCTTAGGTTTGGTGAGAATCGGTTCAACAGTACAGCAATTATAATTGGACACACATACACCCAAATTTTAGCTTAATAAAAGTTTACTTTTATCATTTAAAAATAAATAAAGTATACCATAACCTACTTATAACGGTTTTAAATTATCAGGCAAGGAAGATGTGGGCTCTTTTTCGCGTGGTAACAGCGTATTGGTATATTGTACTTTAATTGAATAGCAATAGATGGCGCGCGACGTAGCTATAAAGATCGAACTACCAGCTACAGTTTCTCAAAAAAATAAAATAATAATTATATGTTCAATAGCTGTTATTTACTTTATGCAATACGCATTGCCTTGTATAGTTTATGTGAAGAAATGTATTGGTATGTGGGTGTTTGGGTTGTTTTTCTGATGCATCATTCATGAGTAAAGTGTAGCCTAAGTAAATAATAGTATTTTCTGGTTTAAAAAACAATGCAAAATAATTATGTGTTTTGGGCCATGCGTGTCCCATTTGTTAGCTTCCCGATGTCACACAAAAAAGGCTCGCAGTAATTTTGGGTGCGTTATAAGTGTGACAGACAAAGTTCATTGTTCGTTTACAGTAACCCAGAAGTTGGCGGTGGGTCCTGTTGACTAGCTGCATTTCCTCTCATCTTTGTGCGAATATTTGAAACACAACAAACGTTTGTGAAGACGAGTATCAAAGTACTGCTAAAGCAGTTTACCTAACAGTACCAGTAAGAGATTCGAACTAGTTAGAATACACATTTTTAGACGTCAGCTTATTTTGTGGTGAGGAGAGTTTATGTTGTTAAACCTTTCTCAACTATTCACTTTGTAGTGTGCGGAAAACCTCGTTCTCACGACAAAATGACTTCGTCTTTACTTATAGTGTTGACTTAGAATTCTACACTTGCCAATATTCAAAACCTCTTAAGAGTCTGAAATCTTACTTATGTTTCGTTTAATTTTTCATTCAATATTTATTTGATGTTTAAATTATTGTCAAGATAGATATACAATAAGATTTTTCACACAACTAGAGACGAACATTTTATCAAAATTTCAATATCCGACTTGTGGTAAGATATCAAAGTTCTTACTAACAATGGAACAGGTTCAAGAAAAGGATGAATAGATCTTGATGAAACGACGTACAAGTTATTATTTGTATTAATTTTATGAAACGGATCCCGTCTAAGAATAAGAAAAGTTAATGTTTATAAATCCATATTCTTCTTAAAATATTCTAATCATTAATAAGTCCAGTAATTGAAACATGACAATTAATAATGACTTCTGTTAGTTTATGGAATTTGAGACAGTTGAAATATTATCAATAACATTAAAACAATTTGTATGCAAGTCCAAAGAATAATTTTCACCTCGGACTCCACTCACATAAAACAAGGAACCTCTTGTTCACTGGCCTCAATTTCAGAATTCTACGAACCGAGAGCCACGTGCTTAGCTCGAGGTAAACACCAAGTTCTCTAAACTTGGGAATCAACCCTAAAGAGTAAAGACGATCCTACTAAGATTTGGTGGGCCGTGACGTCACTCGGCAACCTCTTGAGCACGTGCCTGAAAACACTCAGTACAAGAATGCACACAGAGCGTTCTCAGTGTTGAGGAAAATTTGCTGAGTCATGATAGAGGTACATCTGTTCTTGTTTCGTGGAAGACTGTGTGAAGAACACTTCCTGTAATAATCATACGTTCTTAAAAAAACGGTTACGAAAAATCGATCTATAAAGTAAACCTTCCAAAGTTGTTTATACAACAGCTACTTTACTTTACTTGAACATTTGAATTAGATGTTTGGTTCTAGTATAATAATATGAAAAAATATGCATTAATGCATATCTTATCTGGTAGATATGTAGATATAGAAAATCGTATATATATATATATATGGTAGATGTAAATATAATCTTAACAATTTTATGTATCCACAGATGGTAGAAGTGTCTATATAACATACACTTTTCTGTGTCCAGGGATGGTAGAGGTGTATATATGTTAGTCACTATTTTCTATATCCACACATGGTAGATGTATATATGTTAGTCACTATTTTCTATATCCACACATGGTAGATGTATATATGTTAGTCACTATTTTCTATATCCACACATGGTAGATGTATATATGTTAGTCACTATTTTCTATATCCACACGGTAGATGTATATATGTTAGTCACTATTTTCTATATCCACACATGGTAGATGTATATATGTTAGTCACTATTTTCTATATCCACACATGGTATAGGTGTATATATGTTAGTCACTATTTTCTATATCCACACATGGTAGATGTATATATGTTAGTCACTATTTTCTATATCCACACATGGTAGATGTATATATGTTAGTCACTATTTTCTATATCCACACGGTAGATATATATATATGTTAGTCACTATTTTCTATATCCACACATGGTAGATGTATATATGTTAGTCACTATTTTCTATATCTATATGTAGTGAATTCAAACTATGCACATTGGTTCTTATTAACCAGTAGTCAATTCAAACCATACACATTGGTTCTTATTAACCAGTAGCCAATTCAAACTATGCACATTGGTTCTTATTAACCAGTAGTCAATTCAAACTATGCACATTGGTTCTTATTAACCAGTAGTCAATTCAAACTATGCACATTGGTTCTTATTAACCAGTAGTCAATTCAAACTATGCACATTGGTTCTTATTAACCAGTAGTCAATTCAAACTATGCACATTGGTTCTTATTAACCAGTAGTCAATTCAAACCATACACATTGGTTCTTATTAACCAGTAGCCAATTCAAACTATGCACATTGGTTCTTATTCATGTGTAGTGAATTCAAACTCTACACATTGGTTCTTACTACTGTTGTTTGTTTGGTAAAGAAGTAGCAAGTTTCTCTTGTAGAGAATATTTACTTTTCTCTGGGAAGAAACCAGTGAAAGCACTATGCGAGTTTTATCTGAACATATAGCTTATGAAAACAAACTGCGTAGATGTAAAACAGATCTGATGACTGTAGCCCGAGAGCTGGTGAGAGGTTCATTGCTGTGATTGAGGCAAAAAAGTTTGAAGGTTTTATTGTATACCATTTTATGAAGAATACACTCAAATATATAATGGTAAAGTTAAAAAATCTTGAAGAATGGGAAGAGCATAAAATAGCTGTAGAAATGTGTTTACACTGTTTGAAAAGGGTTTTGATACACTCTAAAAATAAACACGTGGTCCAATCACTTGCCACTGAGTTATACCGATTTCAGGAATTACAACCTTCGTCAGTATATAATATGTACGGTTTTATTTACTCACCACAGTGGACCTATTTTTATATAGGATTTGAAGAATATGCAGCACATGTTAGATGTTATAGTCTATATATTGCCACCTGTGGGCCCTATTTTTACACCAAGGAACTTAAACTGATATATAATTTTTCTATTTGTCAAGTATTTAATTGGGATGTATTAAAACTAT